ATTCTTAGCTCATGGCCCATACTAAAATAGGCTGGATTTGGGCCCTGACTAGGTAGCTCAGTTGGTTAGAGCATTGTCCTGATACGCCAAGGCTGTGGGTTTGATTCCTGTCAGGGCACATACAGAAGTCAGCTGGTAAATGCATAAATAAGTGGAACAACAAACTGGTGTTTCTCTCTCTCCCTCCCCCTCTCTAAAAGTGAATAAATAAACTTTTTTTTAAGTAAGATATAGATAGATAGATAGATAGATAGATAGATAAAAACAGGCTGGCTGTGGTCCAGGCCACAGCTTCACCAAGCCTGGCCCGAGCCTCTGGCACCTGTACAGCATCAGCATCTAGCACCCACCTGTTTGGCAGGTGCTTTTTCTCCTCCTGTCTGACTGGCAGGAGACCTTCCAGGGTTTCCTTGCCCATCAGAGGAACCGGCTACCCAGGCCTCAGTGGAGGGAAGCCCCTGTGCTCCAGCGTTTGGAGGGATAGAAGGCAGAGACCCTCTCCGGACCTCAGCACGCAGCCCCCCTCATTGGTGGGACCAGCAGAAGCCGGAACCACACCCCAGCAGTCTTGGGTGGGGCTTTAGGAATCCTCTGGTCTGCGCCCTCATTTTTCAGGTGAAGAAGGCAAGACTCAGAAAGGGGAAGTGACCTGCCCACGGCCACTTGGGTTGGAAGGGCAGAGGTGAGACTAGAACCAAGGGCTTGTAACTTCGAGTTCAGTGCCCTTCCTGCCTCCCCGGGGTTGGAGGGAACCGCACCTGCCCTGACATGGCATTCTGCCCACCAGCTGCTGCCACCAGGGGAGTCTGCAGCCCTCAAGGGCTGCCTTGCACAGAGAAGGTGCCAGGTCAGGTCCGGTGTCAGCTCAGAATGTGGCACCCAGCCCTGCCACGGCAGGGGCTCCACACCAGGAACGGGAAGCAGCTGTGGGACCCCTTCCCCGGCCTCATCCTGTGCCCTGCCGGCACAGGCAGCCGTGGAAGGGCGGCCACGCCCCTCCTGGGTCCGGTGAACCTACAGGGGCCTCCTTTGCTGGAGGTTAGGGTCTGAGGAGAGAAGTGGTCCTGGTTCCTGAGGAGATGCCCAGAGGCAACAAACGGGGCTTCTTTACCGAAGGGGTGAGGACAGCTCACTGGGGGCTTTGTCAGGACGCCTCACGGCAAGGATGACATGCAGGGGGCGCTCCGGGTGAGGGAGGGTGACAGGGTTGAAGAACGGAGGTTCTTCCCAGGCTGGGGCAGGAGCCCTGCTTTCTGCAGGGCCACGCACCCAGGCTATGAGAACGTGGGACGTGGCTGCCAGCGACAGCAGGCCGGACGGGAAGCCAGGCGCTTGCGGGTGTTACCTCACAGGATCTTCGCAGCCATGCAAAGTGACACTGCAACTCTCCTCATTGTCCAAACGCGGAGAGAACATGGGGCAGCAAGTTCCCTCATCCAGGCGACTGCTCGCTGAATGTCAGTGGCGGCACTTGAACTGACCCCAAAGTCCAGACCCCGCCTCCTCCCGCAGCTGGCGGGGGATGCTTGCTCAGCAAGTAAAGAGGACCGCCTGCACCAGCCTCATGGGCGCAGAGTGGCCTTGTCTACCCCGCCCCTCTGTTTCCAGGGACGGCTTTAAGGTGGGTCGGGTGAGGCAGAAGCACGAGATGAGACTATCATCTCGTTCCAAGACGGGGGCGGGAGTCAGCACTGTCCCTTCAAAAGTTCTGTCCAGTGTCTCTGAGACCAGGGTGTCCCTTCTCACCAGGGCCACTCAAGGGATCAGAGAGCACGAGAGGCCTTTAACAGCTCAGAGCCAAGCCTCCCGATCCTTCCTCCTCTGCAGACGGAACCACCATGGAGATCTCCGGAGCAGACAGCTCACCTTCAAAGAGCAAGTCTGGCTGAGCTGTGCCACGGCTCTCCCCTTCCTGACCTGCTGATTTGCCACCGACCGCCTCCTGCCAGGCCCGGCCACCGGCTCTGCCGTGACACTGGGTTTGAGACCCTCCACCTGGTCCACTGTGAACCCAACCTTCCAGTGGGGACTGTGTGTGTGTCCACAGCTGGGGGGACCAGGACAAGACTAGACTACCCTTGGTCTGCTCCCACCCCTGGACAAGGGAAGGTGTCCCCTCAGCAGCTAATGCCAAGAGGGCGGAGGTGAAGGGTCCAGGGTGGGGGAGGGAAGGGCTGTGACAGGGACTGCAATTAATTAAGTACTGGGGGAGGGAGGTCTTCTTACCCCAGGGGGAGGAAGTCCTGCCAGAGGCCCCTCGGAGGAGGAAGCTGTAGGTTTTGCAGCTCCCAGTGCAGACCTCACTCATCCTGGAAGCTGGAGGGCAGAGTCCCCACAGCACAGATTCCTGGTTCCCTCTTGCAGGTTTCCATCCAACCTGTACGCCGCCCCCCATTCTCTTGTACAGAATCCCACTCCCCAACTGGAAGAACAGGAAAGACACTGTTGAGGAGCCTGGCCTGATGGGATTAGGGAAGCCTGCCTTGGTCTCTCCCCCAGAGCCAGGCACAGGGCCATAGCTAGGGAATCAAGGTCCAAGTAGCCACCAACAGCACGGCCACTGGTGACTTAGCATCTGCTACATGCCAGGCACTATGTATTCTTTCATTTAATTCACATAACAACCCTCCCTATTATGAGCCCCACTTCACAGATGAGGAAACTGAGGCTCGGAGAAGCTCAGGAGTCTGCTGCAGAGACAGGAATCACAGCTAGCGTGCGCTGGAGCTGGATCCCATCAGGTCCTGCCCTTTAGGCCTGAAACTCAGGGTAGGAAAGAAGGAATCGAGGGAGGGATAGATAGAGATGCTGAACAAAAGTCCAAAATGGGGTGTCCCCAGGGAAAGGAGAAGCACGGTTGGGGTCAGAGACGGGAGGAGCCAAGCCAGGCTCCACACCGCAGCATGGGGCGTGTACCTGGGCACAGGCAGAGGACAGTCTGGCTCTGCAGAGAAAACAAGTGCAGCCATAAAGGCAGCTTCATGTCCTTGAGGCCCAGGGGAGGCTTCCAAATGAGGCAAGCAGATCCCAGGAGATCTCAGAGAAGGAACCTACTGGTCCCACAGATCTGGTGCCCTCTCTCCTGTGACCCCTGGAGAGGCTGGCTCAGCCTGGCGCAGAACACATGGAGGCCTCTCACTTGGAGCACCGTCCCCATCCTTCCTTCTCCTGAGGCCTGAGGTGGAACCAGAGGACTGCGGGGTATGCTGGGATCTCCTGTAGTGGAGCAAGGACTGAGAGCGGGGGGGCTGGGCCCCACCTCTGTGCGACTTTGGGAAAGCTGGTCTCCCGGAGCATCTATCTGTCCCCTCGCCTGTACTATGGGGATAAAAACACTTAGTTCAGAAAGCTGAGTGATACTTGGTAAATGGCAGCTGCTAAGGCATTCAGAAATTGGATGTGACTTACTGAAGCCTACTCTGGCTCTGGAAACCCCAGGAAGTTTGGGAAGAATAAAGGCTCCATTCTCCTGCAGGGGCGTGGGCAGTGGGCGGGAAGACTCCCAGGAACCTAATGGGCAGTGAGGTTGCAGGGTGGGGGGGGGTCAGCCCCACAGCCTCACCAGCTACACAGGAGGTGGCTGGGGCAGGGTGGCTCTAGACAGTGGCTCAGCTGCAGCAAGGCGACTCTGTCTTCAGCAGGCCTTCCAGATGCAGACCCAAACCCAGGAGCCAGCCTCACCTGCAGTCGTGCTCACAGTCCCCTACCCCTGAGCCACTGTTGTCTCAGCCCCTGCCAGGGCCAGGCTCCAGGCGGGGACCTCTGAGGACCAGGACACCTGTGGGCCGATCCCAGGCATTCTCGAGGCTTCTGCCCTTTCAGGCCATGTCCAGAAATGTGCTGTGTGCCCAGCCCCAGCGGAAAATGCCACGCGAGCATTCAGAACCTCACAGGACGCTGACACAGGAGGGGCAAGCCGGTGGTGTTAGTGAGTCAGCCAGGGCCCGGGCCACAGTTGGGGAACCACTGAGGGCTGGGCTGAGGGTAGGGATAAGGTTCTAAGGAGCTGATACACGCTGCCCACTGCCCCAGCCCCAGAGCTCCCACCCCTGCCTCAGGGAGGGGCTCAGAGAGAATTAGAAAGACCCCACTGGTGCCCAGCAGGATGTCGACCCCAGAGCCCAGAAAATCAGTCACTGACTCAACAGCCCCACTCTGTCCACCACGAGGTCTGTGCCGTCCTCCACACCTAGGCACCTCTGGCCTGCAGCAGATCCTCAAGCCTCATCTCCTTAGCCCAACAGGCAGCCCACCCTTTCCCGTGGCTGCATTCACCCTTTGCCAGTGGCTGCCACGGGGTGGGGGCCACAGGCCCTCCGGGTCCCTGGGTGGGCAGAGAGAGAAGGGGCAGCAATTCCCACATGCCAGCCCTCAGCCTCCCTGCAGCCACCACCAGCTCCTAGTGCTGGAACCCACGGGGATTCCTGGGTGTCCTTCCACCTTCACCCCAGGGCTCCGGCCTCCAGCCCCTAGTCTGGAGCTCGGGAAAGTTCACCGGAGCCTGCAAGCCCCTGGAGGTGGCGATCTGGCCCCACCCTCGCGGGTGGAAGCTCCCAGTGCAGACCTCACCGCACACTCCTGACCCTTGCCCTTCCCAGAAGGAGGGGCGCTTAGAAAGCGCCAGGCTCACGGATAGGTGGAAAACTTTGCTTCCCAGGGTTCAGACCAGAGCCCGGGGGCCCAAAGGAGTCCCGATGGAAACTCCCTGGGGGGCGCGGGGCTCTGAGAATGCAAAGTCGCCCTCCTCCCTAAGCACCTGGGACTTGTGAGTGGCCCTGCAGGGGCATCATCCTCCCCCTCTGCTGCCACCCCCTGCACGCCTCGCGATCCCCTGTCTTCCTCACCGTTCAGGCAGTCTCTAACAACCCCTTGCCCCCCACCCCAGCAAACGCAACGGCGCCTTTAAGAGCCGCAGGCTTACCTTTGCTCCGTTTTGCCGGCGCCACGGTGCCCCCGGCTCCGACCGCCCCCCACCTCGGTCCCCAGCCAGCGGGACTCACCGCGCGCGTTCAGGGGCCGCGGTGCCGGGCGCTGTGCCCTGCTCCCCGCTGGGGTCCCTGCCGGGCTCGGAGCTGCTTGCCCTGTTCTCGAAAGGTGAGCGGCTCCCCGGAGAAGCTGCAACCTGAGCTGGAGTAGGTGGAGAAGGTGGTGGAGGAGGAGGAGGAGGAGGAGGGAGAAGGGGAGGGGTGGAGGAAGGTAGGGGAGAGGACAGAGGGGGGAGGGGGAGGGGGAGGAGGAAGGGGAAAGCCCGGCCCGCTGGAGTTTTTCACGTGTGCAAGTTGACTCCTCCCCATCCCTCCCGAGCTGCCCACAGCTGCTGCCAATCTCCGAGGCTGCCTCTGCCTGGGTGCCCACCCCTTTCTCCCACTCTGAGAGCCCTGGCCCAAGCACCACTTCCGGTGTTGGTCCCAGGGCTGGCCCTGAGGACCTTGACTAAGTAGGCTGAGACTGTCCGGACTGGAGTTCCCCAGGACCGGGGCTAGTGAGCTGGGGCGATTTGCTGAGAGGGCGTGTCTCCAAGGTACCTCTCCCACCTTCCGAGTCTGCCGCTGATCCCAGCAGCCGATGTGCACCGACAGGTCCTGTTGGCCATGTTCATTTGTAGAGTTCTTGAAAACAGTAGCTTTTACAGCTTGTCCTCTGCCCTGTGCATGGGTCTTGTCATCTACCTTCAGGTACAAAGCTCCCACCTGGTTGGTCGCACCCCTCCGGGGCCTGAATGAGCCCCCACTCTTGCCCTGAAGGCTACATCAGTGTGTCCTAGCATTAGACCCTGCAGGCCAACCAGGGACGCCCAAGAATACTCACAGACTAGCTGAGCCCAGACAGGAGGCTGAACTGGCCCAAAACCCCGCAGGAGTTAGTGACAAGCTGCAATTAGGACTGAGGCCGGCACCCACACTGCCCACACCACTGGACTCAGGGGTCGGAGGCAACTGGGATGGGGTGGCAGTGGCACAGTGGCCCCGTGTGGGCCCCTCCCAGCCTTGCTGTTCCCTGAAGGCTGTGAGGAGAGGGGCTGGTGCCTCAAGTGTGATGGGCACCAAAACAGGGAGGTCCGCGTGCTCCTCCCTGCCAGTGGGCGTGGCCTCTTTAGTTTGGGGGCCCTGGCGGTGGGGGAGTCTCTTGAGGAGGGTGGTACACAGTGTGGACATGTTCCTGCCTGAACCCTTTCCTAGGGCTGATCTGAAGTGACCGACAGCCTTTAGGTCCGAGCCTTGGAGCCTGGGGCCTTTCCCTGGAGAAGGAGTTGTTGCGAGTAGAACAATTTCCTTTCCAGAAGATGTGGGCCTGAGGTCAATCACTCAGGCCTGCACCTGCCCTCCAACGTCAGCCTGCGGCATAAGGTCTCTGTAGACTACCCGGGGGATGGGCGCGGCAGGTCGAAGGGAGCAACTGCGCGGAGCAGGGGGGTCCTGCGTGTTGTCCACAGGGGCACCCTTCGAGGGGCCTTCCAGCTCCTTGCTGCCTCTGTAGTCTCTGCCAGGCGTGTGGATTTCCTGGGCACACAGCCCTTTATCAGATAAAACTGCTGAGGTTGAAGGGTGCAGGGAGGGCTAGATCCAGAACTTCCAGGCTTTGGGAAGAGAAAGCAGTCCACCTGGTTCCGTAACCCATGTCTATGATGAGCATGCTGGGAGTCAGGCAAGCTGTGCAAAGGCAGGGACGGGATCAGAAGGGCACAGAGAGGGACTATGGCAAAGGAACTGTGTTTTAGACAATCAGAGAGAATGGAACCAAAGGGTAGAGTTTCAAGGAACCAGGAAGATGGAGAGGTCAAGAGATTTCTGAACATCTCGCATGTGCCAAATAATAGGCAAGTCTCTGGGTACAAAGTTTCTGGAAGCTCCCCGTCTGATAGGGCAGCTAAGTAAACAGCTGTGCTGCTGCAGGACTGGAGTTGGACCGCCTGCGGGGGCTGTTCTGCTGCTCGAGCTGAGGATTATGGGCTGAGAGAACTATGGAGGGTTTTTGGTTTTGTTATGTTTTGTTTTTCCAGGAGGGCTAACACCATGTGCAAAGTGCAGGGATGAGAGAATAAGGTCTCACAGTTCTCTGAGTCTAGAGCTTAGAGTTAGGTGGGGCTGGAGGTGATGCCATAAAGAGGGGAGAGTGCTGGGTTCTGAAGACCCTTCTACTTTTACTGAAAACCTGAGAGCACATGGCAACATGGAGCATTTCAGAGGGAAGAGGCATCACCAATCTGCGATCTAGGACGAGCTCTCTGGCAGCCAAGTGATGGGTTGATGCTGTGGGCAAATCTGGAGATGAGAACCCCAGTTTGGAGACGAATCCTGGTGAAAAATAAATTCTAGCAGTGGCAGGAAGGGGAGGAGGGAACTTACATGATAGATAGGAAACAGGGCCACAGAACTTTGTGCCTACCTGAGACTAGACTGTAAGGTAGTGACAAATATCAAGGTTGGAACTAGTAGTCACTAATATGACAGGCCAGGCTGGGAGCTCCTTAGGGACTCCTTGACTCCCAGAGCCTCCTTGTATCGGCTGTGTGGCATGGGGCAAGTGACTTACCCTTTCTAAACCTAGTTGTGCCACTTGTAAAACAAAGATACTAAAAGCAATCTCGTGTAGTTGTTGTACACATTAAAAACAATGCACCAAAGCATGAGGCTTGGCTCATGATAGGAAGTCGATAAATAACAGACACAGTTACCATCGTTCGCCCATTCAGCAAACATTCATTGAGCACCTACTGTGTGCTGGGGACTGTGCTGGATCCTTGAGGCAGAGGGATGATTCTAAGCCTCGATCCCTATTCTCAGGCAGGTCGCCATCCCGTGGAGAGGGACATGCACAGGGACAGCCGCATACAAAGGTATACGGGCTGGGGCAGAGGAAGAATCCCTTACTGCACCCAGGAGAGTCAGAGACAGTTTCACAGAGGAGAGGTGTGTCGATGTAGGGCCCACCACTTGCTCAGAGACTGTCACCTCTCCCCCTGCCCTTGACATGGGATTGTTTCGGAATCTCCAAAATCTTCCATTTTGAAGGCATCACCTTGCTTTTTGCTCCTGCTGAGGGGAATGGACTGCAGAATGCAGTCTTTTGGGGGCTCAGAAAGTGACAGGTGAAACTTCAGCAGGCCCAGGCATGAACGCGGATGGGCAGGTGGAAAGAAGAACCAGGTGAGTGACTCTGGACAGGTGGGCGGAGTTTACTAGCTGGACAGGGAACCTATCCGTGTGCACTGTTTGAGCCATCCTATTTTTTCTGCTCCCCGTCTGTGCCCTTGGGAAAATTCCCTCTGAAGCCTGTGGTGTCCCTGCCTCCTCCCATGGCGGTGTTACCCCTACACTGCTGTCAATGAGCCCAGCTCAGCAGACGCCGCACCACCTGGCTCTCCCACTGAGAAGGGACTCCCGTCCTGCTGCCCCACAGGCAAGACTATGGGCTTTAAAGCCATGTGTGCTGTGACCTTGGGCACTCACTCAGCTCCGGTTCCCCATCTGCACCACAGAGGTGGTGTTAGTCCTGCTCTCATGCGGCCATTGTGAGCTTTCAGTGAGATGTTCACTCTGCACCCGATCCACGTTCTTTCTTTCTCTGTAGCCCAGTTATTGCCACCCGTCAGGGTCAGACAGGAAACTCTTGCCTGGAGGTTCCCCTGGAGCCCTGGCTCCTAGGGCGCCTCCCTTCTGCTAGTCTAAGGGTGTGTGGTGTCCTGGGAGTCCTTGGTTCCCTAGTAGCAGGATGTTGGCCGGCCTGAGCCTTGTGACAACAGGGGCCAGGAGCAGTCCAGGCCACTTCCACACTTTGATCTTGCCTCTCCTGCCTGCTGCCAGAGACATGCCACTGCCCTGCAGACAGGACATATGGCCCTGCGTGCCTGAGGGCTGAGTGGGGAAGCTGGAAAGAGCCCTCGCTCACAGGCCATGTGGGTAGTGTATTGGCATGGCTTCTGGAAAACTGAAGCCCAAGCCTGCCCCATGTTCCCCTGGGAAGCTCGGCATCCAGACCAGAGAGTTCATCAAATAGAGATGGCTCCGCCGCCCCAGGCGCTCCTCCTTTTTGGCCCCGCCCTGCAGAGACACTGGGAAGGCCCCAGGCCTGACTCTGCCCCTAAGGGCCTCAGTTTATCTGGGCCTCTGTTTTCCTCCTCTGCAAAATGGGAATAATGTGAACCCTGTCCCCTCAGGAGGGTTAAATGACAGTATAACTGTGCAAGTGCTTTATGAATTGTGAAAACATCTGCAAGTCTTTGCGGTCCTTAGTGTTCAGCCAAAGGCCCTTCGTAGGGTTCTAGGAGACACGTAAAGGCAGGAGAATGGGAAACTAAGTAAGAGCAGAGTGACACTCTCCCCAGGGCAGGTACATCCTTGGCAGAGGGGAGGGAGGATGGCAGCTGAGATCTGAGCCAGGGACTGACCTGTGGGCTGGCTCCCTAGGGTGTAACGGTCAGTAGGGTCAACAGGACTTGGCTGGACTCGGCCAGTTCTTACTTCTCTTCTGAGTAAACCCAGGCCGTTGTTTTCCAGTAACGTATCACTGCACCAAGCATCATATCCCCTTCTCACTGTCATGCACACCATGCACAGCCACTCCAGACTGCAGAGGGGGCATGGCTGCATCCCCGGTGGGTTCTGGGACAGGGCAGACATATAAACAGAGTCAGCCAATCACAGCCCTGTTGACCCTAGCAACAACCAAACCAATTAGAACCCCACGCCCAAAGCAGCACTGTCTCCCAAATGTACCACAATCCTTCAGGTTTGCTGCATTGCCGCAAAAGGGAAACCACCGCACAAAGTAGAGAAAAGGGGAGAGTGGCCCTTAGCAACAAGCCTGGGCCAGGCATTGGGGTGAGGATGCAGGCAACACTGGCCAGGGGTGGGTCACAGAGAGGGACCCCACGCAGGCTGGGGGAGAACAGAGAGAGAGCTGGTTCACCCGGGCTTCCTAAGTCCATTTTCTAGCCCTGGGCCTCAGTTTGCTCACCCACAGGTGGGGTCAGAGACTCCCGTTTGTATTATAGGATGTGCTCAGAGTATGCAATTCCTCTCCAACTAGTAAGTAAGGCTAGGAACTGTAGATTTTCTTTTCAGAAAACCTTAAGAATTTCAAGACTTCTGGGCAAAGGAGAGTTGATTGCTCCCCAGACAGATCTAAAATCAAAGCCCGAAATCCGGTTCCTGAGCACATACAGGGTGTTGGCAGAGGCAGGTGTGCGGTTGTTCACATGGAAATGATACGATCATTAGTCA